CCCTCCAGCTCCTGAGGGACTCAGATTCAGCCTTATTCCTGACCCGGGGATCCCCTCTGCTCCTGTTTGCAGATCTGACCTCAACTGTTTTGACCCCAGCACTCTCTCCCTTCACCTTCTGGTAGCCCCTTACCGCACCTGCTCTGGGCACCGGGGGGTGCTTGCCTGGGTCCAGGAGGCCACCTCGGCAGCAGCACTCGCACCAGGTGGGGCTAAGACAAAGCTCCTTTAATTACAGAGCTTATTTTGTGGAACAAGCAAAATCCACAGCAGCCTGTAATATAAGCCGCGCTCCCTGATTTCTATGCGGGGTGAGCCTGGCTGCCCAGCACCTGCCGTGGAGCGCAGAACAAGCCCCACCGCTGGGAACGTTGAGTCTTGAGTGAGACACAATGCTTCTGCGAGGCCAGGGCTGGAACCCAACCCTCAGGCCTGGCAAGTCTGACCAGGAACGGCTCCACTGCTACCCTGAAAAATGACGGTGGTAATGATGGCCACGGTGAAGGTAGTGTGTGCCGTTCAAATAGGATGAAGTGAAGCCTCAGAAAAGCAAGAGAATGAGTGAAGAAAGAACCGAGAGGAACACTGAGAAACCCCTCCTCAACCAGGGTCTGCATGCCAGACTCCCACCGCCCTCCCTCCCGTATCACGATGTCTTCCTAGTGACCCTGTGGTTCTAGGGCCTTCTGGGGCTTTGGGCCTCGTGGTCACGGACCCCCGCAGTCCGCTCCTCCTTGTTGGCGGTGGTTTAATGTGGTTTGTCCCCCTGTCATCAAGTGTTTTCTCCTGGTCCTTTGTGGTGGCTTAACTTGGAAAAGGATGCTGGGCCGTGGTGTGTGGTCTGTGAACTTGGCTGCTCGGCAGAACCACGTGGGCCCCGTTCCAGACCCAGGAACCAGAATTCCTGGGGAAGGCATCCAGGAATCGGTGTTTCTCAAAAGCTCCCCAGATGACTGGGAAGCACAGGGAGGTTTGGGAAAATGTATGGTAAGTTTAGAGGCGGTTTCTCTCGTTCAAACCCTCCTCCCTGCAGTACATGCCAGGCCCCCGACACTGGGCTTCCAGCTCCATGACTGGCCTGGTTCCCACCCAGTCATGGGCACCACTCCTTCACCTTAAGTTCTCCAGGCTGTGAGTCTGCAGCCCCTGCCTTGAGAGCTGTGCAGGGGGTGGAGCTGTTGGAGGGACAGCCCGCTGCCTTCTAGTGCTTAGTTTTGGATTTAGGCAAGCTAGCTTGCTAGCTAGCCAGCTATAATCGTCCTCCTCCTCCTCATCTATCTAGTTTAGTTTAAAATTCAAGGAACAAATAAAATCTACAGCAGACATGCTTTAAAAAACACTCTGTTGGGGGCTGGCCTGGTGGCATAGTGGTTAAGTTCCCAGCACGGACCTATGCGTGGTTCATCAAGCCATGCTGTGGTGGCGTCCCACATATAAAATAGAGGAAGGTGGGCACAGATGTTAGCCCAGTGCCAGTCTTCCTCAGCAAAAAGAGAAGGATTGGTAGATGTTAGCTCAGGGCTGATCTTCCTCACACACACACACACACACACACACACACACACACACACACACACACACACACACACACACACACACACACAGCCTGTCCCTGTAAGTCTGCAGTGTGATCTACTGTCCACCAGGGGGCCCCCAAGTCCCACACCACACCTTCAGTGTCGCGGGGTCCTCTATTCCCGTCCTCGTCTGGCTATTGCCAAACCTGGGGAAATTGCAAAGCACTCCCAGGAGCCCTTGGCTTTTATGTTTTGATCTCAGGAAAGAATTTGACACTTATTTAAAAGTCATGATTTCCAAATCTCTATGGATAATGAGAAATGTTACTATTGGGAGGATGTTACACGTGTGAATAGTGCAGAGGAAGAGAAACGGTTGAGACTCTTTGGATTAAAGTGCTATCCTTCCCAGGGTCTTTGGATTTAACAAGTTTTAAGCCACAAGAATTATCTTGAGAGTGAAGTGTTAGCGAGTCTACCACCCTCTAGCTGTGACACCGCTGGATGTTTCCATCTGTCATTGATCCCCCTCCCTGGGCTTCAGTTTTCTCGCCTGTAAAATGGGGCTGGGGTGGAGAGGCTAACTGTCACATGTAAACTTCTCATAGCAAAAGGACAATCCCCGAAGACTTCTTGTTTTCTAATGTAAACTCCTTGCTCTTTAATCATCTCTCATATAGCCTCCTTTCTAGACCCCAGATCTCTTGACTCCCCCTGGATGAACATATTTAGCTTTCTTAAAACATGCTGCCCTAAACAAAGATAGTGTTCCAGATGGCTCTGGATGCCATTCTCATGGAGACCAAGATACTCTCAGTGTCGTGTGAGTGTATTATTTGCGATAGAGGCAATTAGTTACATGACTAGCTCAATATGATTTAGTTTTTCTACCTTTGTAAGATTTTTTTGTAGAAATAAAATCATAAATAAGAAGACATATTTTATCCCAATTCACACAAATAAGGTCACTCTAACTAAGCTCTTCTACCTTCTTAGGATGTGCCCAACATATGTGATGTGTGCTCTTTGTTCCCAGACAGTATATAACACACTGTACACCCCACTTCTTGGGTGTGCTTCCTTCCTTGGGGAAGGAATGCCCCAGGCTACAGTCCTCAGACCTGGCTCCTAATAAACTCATCCCAAATTTGATTTGTAGATTGATTATGGATTATTTGTGTCCACACAGGTGAGAGTGAAAGCACATACTGGTTCAGAACAGGATGATTTTTTGAGATAAGGATTTGTGTTTTGTTCTTTGTCTGGTTTTTTCCCCTCCATTTTCCAGGAAAATGGCTCCTATGTTTAAAGACCAAAAGCAGAAGCAGCTTAAAGACAACCTCTCTTCCTGCTTGTTCAGTGTCTACTTTCGCCAAAAGTCTGAACTCACTGAAGAGATTATTTGAGGTCTAGAGTAGGATGGAGACGAGGTGAGTGTCTTTTCAGAGAGAAAGGGGGCTGTAAAGGGAGTAAGGGGAGAAACTCCCAGAGGCTGGCTGGTCCCTCCTGCAGCCAGGACCACCACAGTGGCAGTACCCTGAGGAGGTGGCTATCCTCAGGAGGCAGCGGCTGTGTGGAGGCTCAGAGAGGTGGGATCCTACCACCCAGACTTCCAGTCCTGGCAGAGTCCTGGGCATTCCACCAGGCAGAGGGCAGCAGAGCTGCCGCTTCCAAGGGACCATGTGGGCTGGCCACTGACCCATCTGCTGTGGTCAAGAGAGACTGGAGGCTACAGGGCCTGCCCTGTGTTTTGGGGACCACAGAAGTCTTCCTGATTCTTTTGGTACCTAGGGACGGGGGTGGAGTTCCTGTAATGAATGACACCGAATTTCCTCCAGCTCAGTGAAATGGGAAGCTTCATTTTATTTGATTTATTGAAAATAAAGAAAGGTGCTACTCCCTGCACCCCTGGGTTAGCAGCTAATTTATTCCTGGGACAGTTGTAAATTCACAGCAGGCCTGGAACACAGTTCACGTGGATAGGCAATCAGTGTCTGATTGTTTCCTTCCGCCTTTCATTCAAGCAACATTCTTAAGCATTTGCATGTGATCGGCCCTGGAGATACAGGGATAAGAGAACATAGCCGTCCTCAGGAGCCCGAGGTATAGTGAGGGAGACAGGCAGGTAGGCAGCCATGTGATGTGAGGGGTTCTCTGAGAGAGGAGCAGGGAGAAGGGGGGCATGAGGAAGGGTCTGTCCTGCCAGGGCTCCTGTCATTAGATGTTGGTATCTTGCTGAGCACCACCTAGTGTTTGAAGGTTGGCGCACAGTGGGGGCTTAATGAGATACCATCGCGAAATCTTAGAATTGGATTAAATCAGTGTTGCTCAGGTGGAGTTCATCAGTGCCCTGGTCCCCACCCAGGTAACTCTGCTCCCACCTGGCTTCTCCTCCACCCAGCCCTAACTTACACTTGCTGGTTCATTCGATTTGCATTTATTAGGGGCCTCTGGGTGTGGACAGCACTGAATGAGATGAGCATCTGATCAACCGTGAAGAAGGTGAATCAAAGAAAGAGTGGCATTACCAGTCTCCAAGTCCCATGAGCGAAACAAAACAAGACTAAACTCCCCCCATACTTTCTCCTGTCGGGAGGATGAGGTGGACCTGGTGGGCTCAAGGGGACCACAGAGGATGCTCTGACATTGAAACATGTGAGAACCGTTAGATGAAGGAGCTAAAGGACATATTCATTATTCTCTCTTTTTTTTAGTGAGATATAATTGATGTATAGGATTATATTAATTTCAGGTGTACAACATGTAATTCGATATGTGTATATATCGCAAAATGCTCACCACAATAAGTCTAGTTAACATCCATCACCATACATCGCTACAAAATTTTTTTTCTTGTGATGAGAACTTTTGAGATCTACTCTTTTAGTAACTTTCAAATATACAATACAGTATTATTAACTATCGTCACCATGCTGTGCATTACATTCCATGACATTTATTTTGTAACTATAAGTTTGTACATTTTGACCCCCTCAATATTCATTAGTCTTAAGCTCCAAGTCCAAAATGAAAAGATAATAGAAGAATAATGTGTATGAGAAACTTTTCACTAACTTCCATGATGCATGTCCTAAAATGCAGTTTTTCCTCCTTTACACAGATCTCCAACCATAAGAAATATACCACAGAACATTTGGAAGTTGTCTAGCTTCATCTTTTCTCTATTGCCCTGCATCTCTTTGCAAGAGGGTAAATTAATAAGTCAGGAGCTAGGACCCAGAGATATTTCTTAGACTTACACGATCTGACAGCTGACTGGAAATCAATGAAGTGTACTTGAAGAAACATTACGCTGATGCGAGATGGTTTGAGACAATTTTATCCCACTTCAGGTGTCTACTTTCCCCTTGGGTTCCACTTCGGACTTTGAACGACTGCACTTTCTTTTCAAAACCCCTCTTTCCAATGGAAATAGTCTGTTGTTAAAAAGAAAGAAATTGTCTTTCTGAAACTGACATCACGATGCTGACAGACTTTATCCTGGTGCTCATCGTCCTTGGTGTCATCCCCTCAGGTAAGCTCAATTTAAATTAAATTAAAACTTTATAATTATAGGATTATTTAAGCAAGGAGGTGAAACTATGGTGTTGATCATGTTAGAATTATAAAATGTAATACATAGGCATCTTCAGGTTAACCTTTAAAATGTAGCTCTGATGAGCAATTCTATGAAATCTATTTATATTGCTAAACAAATCATATCTATGAATTCCATAATGTTTATGCTTTTATCATTTATTGTGTTATTCCTTTTGAATCATTATGAACTTGGTAGAAAAATATAAAAGCATGAAAGATGCTACTGAATGCACTGACTGTTCCTCAGAGAATTGTTAAAATATTTGACATAGAAATTTTCTGTGTCAACATTTTTATGTCTTATCTACTAATAATCACTATATCTGTGTGTAGATATTTAATTTTGTCCAATATATCCTGTAGATCCGTATAAATACTTTTGTAAGTTTGTGTACGTAGGTAGATTTAGTATGAGTGTGTATCACAATTAAACAAAAATATATATCAAATGTCTATGAACATGTGAGTTTTGTGTGACTATTATCCAACTGAAAATAGCGTAATTCTTAAAGAAAGAGGACAAATAAAAGGAGAGAGATGGGGGTGCGGGGAACAAAGGAAAAGGAATGAGGAAGAAAATAACTTGAAAGTTTAGAAGAAAGTGGTCGTCTGCACCTGGCGGTTTTCTGGGTTTTGGAATCATTTCACTTTTTCTGTAGCTGTTAGAACAGAAAGCTCTTCCTGTCGCACAGAAATCGTCTAGAGCCGGGAGCCAGGTGGTGAGAAAACAGTGTCGCTCCATTAGCAATTGTATTTATTTCTCACTAGTATTTTTGCCACATTTGATTTTTGCAGTTTTCAGATGGAGAAGCAGAGACACTGAGATATTTGCCAAGTCCTGAAATAAATCCTGGATTACAAGGAGGACCATGAGGCACACACACCTGAACATTATCGTATCTTCAAAAACATAGCGTTTCCTTACTCCAGGGACTCAAAAACAAACTGAGTAATTTCTAAGTGCAGAGAGCATCAAACCCACTTTTGACTGTCACTAGATTTGGTCTCTGCAAAGTCTTAAATGCAATTTGCCAATCATAAAAATAAAAATCAACTTCTGTGTGTTTTAGCATACAATTAATGTACACGTGTCTAATGTTTTTCTGCCTTAATTTACTAGAGGATTCTATTTATTATGAGAGAATTGATTCTTACTATTCTTTCCCCAGAGAAATCATCTCACTGGTTAGCAGGGGTAGTTAGCATAAACCCTCTTGGTTCATCTGTGCATCCTCCTCTAGGTGCAGTAACCGTTACGTAAGAAAATTGGAATTGGAGAGAGCCTGGTGCTCCTTCTCCATGGTGTAGGCTGCAAGAGTTTGGGAATGTGTACTGAGCTGTACACATCTGTCACAGATCTGGAATAAATCTATGGAGTGGAGTAACTCTTGCATTTGTGAATATTTCTAGATCCATTGGAGTTTATTTCTATTTTTAGATCTTACCACCTTTCCTTAAGTTCTTTAACTTTACTACTCACTGTAAAGAAAATAGTTTCTTTTTGTTACACAAAACTCTCTTTTTCAAATTACCAAGGGCAACACCTCATTTTTGTATTTCTGGCTTTGGTGAAAACGGTCACTGTGCATGGCCGTATGACACCTCTTGTATTTCGAATTCATGCTCTGTGTGTTTGTGTCTGCTCCCAGAAACGGGAACTGTGTCTTATTCATCTTCCCATCACCCTTATCACATGATGATGTGTGTTTATTCATTCAGTAAATATTTATTGAGGATCTCCTGTATCCTAGGAATGGTTCCAGCATGTGGGATACAAGAGGGAATTAAAAAAAGGCATCCTAATAAACTCTCATGCTAGCAAGAATCCAGTAAATATTTATTATTTGATTTCACCCCGAGGGCTCACTCTATGTGTTGACAGAGGAGGCTACCATATCTGTGGTATGATTTTTTTGGACAGGTGGTGATAATGGAAGATAAAACCAAAATATACCAAAAGGTGTCAAAACAAAAAACATGCCTCTCCCAGCCATACTTGCTGAGGTTTGAAATTCTTCGATTATTTTTTTAATCTCCTGGCTGAGGATACACAATGGTGTCGTCTTCAATAAAACCATAAAAAATCATGGGAAGTTTCATCTATTAAGTCTTATCAGTTATTTATACCTCAGTGTGAGTGAGTTTGTCAAAATTTTGCTGAAAGTAGCTGTTGATATGGGGAAGAGAGAGCAGAGGGTCTGAGAGCCTGAAGAAAGGAAAGGAAACATGATCTAGAACAATAAAGAGACCAGAAGGTCAAAGATGCAGGTTCTGAAGAAAAATGTCTTTGTCTCAAGCTGGTGCTGGGCACCTCGTCCAAATCTCCCACAATTCCTCCCTCCCACTTCCCGGGGTTGAGTGAGCCCCAGCCTCCTCACAGGGAGGGAGTCCTGTCCAGTCCCCTGATGGCTTTACTTCCCTTTACCTGGATGCTTTCTCTGTTGCAGTAAATGGCAGACAGGAGAGAGGGCTGTTCCGCAATCAATGGCACATCTTAAACCTGGGATCTCTTTTGTATCTTTGGAACAGCAGATATTTGGCATGAATAGGTCACGTTTTGCGGCTGTTTCATGGATGTAAAGATCCTAGAAGCACAGGATGTGTGAGTTGCTAGGGGTCTTAGCAATCATTCACTCCTGATTTTTGTTGGGAGATGCTAAATGCCTTGCTTAAGATTCCACGGCTTGGAATCAGGACCATAACTCATGTCTCTAGATCTGAGCTCGGTGCCTCTCAATGTTAAATAAATATTTGTTGGACTCTTGTTCTGACGAGTGACAAGTTTGGCAAGAGACCCAGCACTCTGAGCCAAGAGCAGCATGCTCTCCTGGAGCACTTTCCCAGCCCGAGTTCCACATGGAGGAAATAACCAGGATCAGCAGAGCGCTATCCATCTCTGTCTGTCTGTCTGTCTGTCCATCTGACTGGCTTGCCCCTGCTCTCTCTCTGGCTCTTCCCCTTCTTGCCATCCATCTATGGAGTTGCTTGTCTAGTCCCAAGGGAAAGATTTTGGCAAAGAAAAATGAGGCAAAGTTTAAGTAGGGAGAGGAGAAGAAAGGGGGAGAATTGGGGTTTAGGGAAGAAGCAAAATTCCTTTTTTACCAAAAGAGCTGGTGAAAAGCTTTGACAGGCGGCACACATCCTCTGCAGATGTGCGTTAGACTAAGTGTGTGTTGCGGGGTTGAGGTGAGGGGAGGCAGTCCAAGCAGGACTCAAAACAAGAGAATGTGGGAGACCATGGTCAGATCTGAAGCAGGATGGCTCCCTCAGGAGAGCACTGGGTGTCCACCTCCAAGGAGAGTGACTGCAGAGCAGGGCCCGTTCAAGAGACCCCCAGGCAAGGCAGTCTGGGCCAGGTGCCACCTGCACACAGGGAGACTTGAGTAGGAGTACAGAACATGGCCACCAGGGCTGTCTCCCTATGACCAGAGAAATTATATCTGTGACCTGGTTTTAGAATATTCTTCCAGGTAGTGGATTGCTTTAAACAACAGTGAAGTATTTTGGAAAAAATAATGCTAACAACAACACAGCAACAAAAATAGCAATAGTAACAAATACATGTTCATAGAAGTGAGTGGCTGAAAGAGTTTTTACGTGGCAGTAAGGAGACCATAGTGGAGGCAACAGTCAGTCTTTTGCGTCTTCAATCCTCAAAGAAGCTCATGGGCTGGTGGAAAGATGGCCGACTTGGGGGTCAGAAAACCACACCCACCACTTGTTCGCTGGGTGACCCTGGGCAAGCCATTTCCGCTCTGGGTACCCCAGGATCTTCACCTGTAAAAGGAGGGGCTTAGATAATCTTGGAGGTCCTTTCCAGCTCTCTTGTCGCTTCTTTATCATTTCACTTTTCCTTCCTCTTTAATTAATGCTGAAATTAGTTGTGAAGACAAATGCTCTCCCACCTCCACCCCCTTCAGGAAGCTGACTTTGAGAAACCCAAGGACCCACAGTGGGGGGTCGCTTATCTTCCAAGAGCAGTTTCTTGACTTGTCAATGAATCATTGAGATGTATCTTAGAGTATTGGCCTTGTCTAATTAGTTTTAAATATAAGTCCATTTGCAAAAACTTGGTTTACACACAACTTTTCAGGAATCTATTTATTCTGTAAAACAGAGACCACATGTCCTGGGACCCCTGAACATACCTGTGGCTCTGTGTCCTCTAGAGCAGTGAGCCAGGTCACTGCCTCCTTTCCCTGTGCACGGAAAGTGCTGTTATGGCCTTTCGAGCATTTATTCATTCATTTGTTCATTCACCAAACATCATTGAATATTTACAGAGGCCTGGCCTCAAAAAATCAGCGGTGGAAGCACCTGCGCTTTCTCGTGATGTTCTGTTTTACAGGAAGGACAAACCAGAAACATTTCCAGGCCTGTCCTCTATGTCTGCTCCAATAACGTCAATGACTTCAGCTTCTATTTTGGGAAGCTTCAGGAAGCTTGAAGATATTAGGCAGAAAGCATTAAACCTTTGGCCTTTTTATTTATTTTTTTGGTAAGGTCTGTTTAGGTCAACACAGATTTGTACCAGTTAGCTTGGGCTGTCATAACAAAATACCAGACTGGGTGGCTTAACAGAAATTTATTTTCTCACGGTTTTGGAGGCTAGAAACCCATGATAAAGATGCTGGCAAATTCAGTTTCTGGTGAGGACTCTCTTCCTGGCTTGTAAACAGCTGCCTTCTTGCTGTGTCCTCACATAGGTTTCCTCAGTGACTGTGTGTGTGTGGGGAGAGAGAGAGAGAGAGAGAGAGAGAGAGAAAAGGAGAGAGAGAGAGATCTGGCCTCTCTTCCTCTTCTCATGAGTTCTATCAGGTAAGGGCCCCATCCTGAAGACCTCATTTAACCTTCATTACCTCCATACAGGCCCATCTCCAAATACAGTCATATTGAGGGTTAGAGCTTCAACATGTGAATTTGAAGGAACACAAACATTCAGTCTGTAACAGTCAGTATAGATTTATGCTTTTTCCTCCTTGATTCAGGCAGCAGCTCACCCTCTGACCCTGGCAACATGGGTCGAAAAATACGCAGGTGCCTGAAAGAGCAGACCTGGTCATTTCCCTTCAGATCCGGGTAAAGGACATGATCCCACTATCCTCAGGAAGGCCATGGCTTTGGGGGTGGCAGATGCTGGGGAATGTCAGGGTCTTAATTTTAGAAGATCCCTCCCAACGCGAGACTCTACCTCCCTTCACAATGCCGGTACAATTTTCCTGCCAGGAGAGGAGGTTCCAATGTACAGCCTGTGCCCTTCTTAGGATCCCTCTTATATGTCCAAAATTATAATGGCTCAGGGTTGTCCGAGCTAAGAAGCTTGTGTGCGTGTGCATGTGTGTGCATGTGTGTGTGCATGTGAGTGCATGTGTGTGTGCGTGCATGTGTGCACGTGTGTATTGGTTCAGACATTATTCAGTTGTGCTCAGCCTTCCTGGAGCGTCTCCACCTATTGTGAGATGGAGTCTTTAGTAGTTTGTACTCCCGGGCTGAGCGGGGACACAGGTTTCTCGGGGAGGTCAGGACTCGGGCACTCTCAGGAGTCCTTGCTGTCGGTTGCGTGTAACAGTGACTGCAGCGGCTCAGCCAAACAGGGGGTTGTTTTTCTCACACACCAAGAAATGTGGAAGCAGGCAGTGCAGGGCTGGCGCAGCAGTCACCGTGCTATCAGGGACCCAGGCTCTGTCTGTCTTTCTGTTCTGCCACCTATGTGTGCAGCTTTCATCAGGCTTGCAAGATACTTGAGTGGCCAAATCTTCGGACGTCATGTGCCAGTTCCAGACAAGAAAAACGAGGAGGGACAAAGGGTAAAAGATGGAGTACATATTCGATTGAGTCCATCTTCTTCAACAATATTTCCTGTAAGCCTCACCCAGTGGCTTGTTTGTATCTTAATTTGCCTCACATGTGTCATATGGCCATCTGTAGCTGTAAGGGAGCCTGAGAGGGGAGCATTTTAAGCTGGCATCGTGCAATTCTGAATAAATTTAGCATTGTTACCAAGGAAGAATGGGCAATGGCTGTTGGACAGGGAACTAGTGTGTCTGCCCCAGTGCCCATCAAACAATGTTCTCCTCCCTGAAGGATGGGGCTGCCTGTGCAGGGGAAGGCCAGAGAAGGACAGCTGTGGCCTCCCTACACCTATCTTCTCCTCAGCAATTCAGCTCTGGCCCAAACTCTCCAAACACCACTCAGCAAAAGCCAAGCAGCCAACTGCATTGTTACCCAAGTGTTGTTCGTTCAGCAGCTGTTCAATGAGCAGCCACGTGTGCCAGGCACTGCCCCAGGAGCTGGGAGACAGCAGCGAGGAGGGCAAGGTCCCTGCTGTCTGGAGCTGCATTTTCTAGTGGGGCAGACAGACAATAAACAAATAAACATATAACATGATTGAGTGCTCTATGGAAGATAAAGTACCATAAGAGGACAGAGTGTGGGGGGCATTTTAGATTGTGTAACCTGAAATGACCTCTTCAAGGAGACGACAGTTGAACAAAGATGGGACAAAGTGAAGGAGCGAGCCATGGGTGATCTCTAGGGCAAGAGCCTTGCCAGACCGGAAGCTTACTAGAATGTTCTGGAAAGAGCATAGGCCTGTGGCACTGGGAGATGGGGTGAGGGCAGAGTGGGAGAGGGTAGGGGCCACATAGGGCCTGGGGGACCATGGTACAAAGTGGGGATGTTTTTTCTCAGTTTGATGGGAAGCCATTTGGAGGGTTTGAGCTGGGACTGACATAATCCTCTTCTGCTTTTAAGAGATGGCTCTAGCTGCTGGCGGAAAGTGGACTGTGAAAGGGGCGGGAGAGGAAGCGGTTAGGAAGCAGCACACGAATCCAAGAGTGTGATGGAGTTTGTGGTTGGGGGGGTACCAGTGGAGATGGTGGGAAGCAGTTGGAGTTGCGTGTATTTTGAAGCAAGTTAAGACTGGGTGTGGGGTAGGGAAACTCTTGAAGTTCAGCCTGAGCCAGTGAACACCTCTTCCCTCAGAAGGCTTCAGGGAATTTCAGTTCCCTCCTTCCCCCTCCATTTCCAGTAAGGTTTTAGGGCCCCTTACAGAGTGCTGTCCTGGCAGCCGCCCAGCTGGCCTGCTCCTTAGTGCAGCTCCGCTTGCTAAGAATAGTTGAAGTATCAAAGTTTGAGAATGGTTAGCTTTTTAAATAAGCTTGCACCTCTCTCTACCACTCATTTGCATTTTAATATGCTTTCTAGGGCAGAAGAGGAAGAGGTGGAGGCAGGGAGAGCTCGCAGCTGTCTCATCCACAGCTTCAAATTGCTGCTTCCTCAGCAAAGTGAAGAGTTCGTGCACACATGGGGGATGTGTCTATTTTGCTTTTCTTCCTACTAAGAATCTTTGGGTTTTGATTGGGTAAATTTGGAGGTGTATCTTGCATGTGATCACTGCCCATCGTGTGTGTCTCTCAGTGGCAAAAAGGTTTTCTATGGTAAAACATATGGTGCAGAATGAGCTGTTGTAGGACATTAATAGGGTCCTGAATATACGAAAAGAGGGGCTTTATTTAAAACAACAACAAAGAGCTTCCTTGTTTTAGATTTGGTAGCACAGTACCGAAAAGAAACAAAACTTATCTCTAGACTGCATTTCTAAACCATTTCTTCAACTTGAGGGTTAAAGCTTGAACTTAGGGTGTTTCTTAGGCTTTCACACGTTTCTGGGCAGAGAATAGTGCTAGAACCTGGTTGTTGACCAGGGAAGGTCTTCATAAGGGCGGACTTCCTCAGGAAGAAGGCAAGAGAAGAGCACAGGGCACGGGGCAGGTGTTCAATGGATATGTGCTGAATGCAGGGAAAATGGCCCTGACACAGTCCCCTCACTGGTTCATTCATTAAATGGGTAGAAAATGAGCCCGTGCTGAGGGCCAGGCATGGTTCTAGGGGCTGGATAAACAGCAGATTGAATGATACTGTGCATGCCATCATGGAGCTCGAGAGGAGGACAGACAAGGACAAACACACACAAATGGTGATACAGGACATGAAGGAGCCAAACAGGGCACAATGATGGGCCGTGGCATGTGGGCAGAGACGACGTCTGTAAGGAGGGGCATCTCAGTGGAGACATGAGGTAGAGGGTAAGGTTGTGGATGATCCTTGGGGTCAAGGTGTTGACCTCACGATGGGAAAATCCCGTGAAAGTGTAAAGCTCTGGGTAAATTGCAGAGTCTCCTTTTGGCTGTGGGCATGGAGAATGGTTAAAGAGAACTCCTGAACCCCCAAAACTGCCTTTGCTGAATTAGGCTGTTTAGAAATAGATGAAGGCTCAGGCCACAAGGATGCTAACCAGCCAACGTGCCTCTCCCATTAATTCAGGTTCCTGCACGATTGTTACAGCCACTGCGGGCTTCAGTTCAATGGCCGAAAATGAGGACGCCCTCCTCAGACATTTATTCCAAGGTTATCAGAAATGGGTTCGCCCTGTATTAAATTCTAATGACACCATAAAAGTATACTTTGGATTGAAAATATCTCAGCTCGTAGATGTGGTGAGTAATCCTTGGCACTAAGCTAAAAAGAACATGCATTCCTTAACCTGTTTGTGAGTCTAAGACTTTATTTTGTTTTCTTTCCCTGTGTCTGCCATTTCAATTTTAAAAATAACTTACTGTGGGAGAAAATCTGCCCCAAAAAGCCAGTGAAATGACCCAAGGAAAGAATGAGAAGCGTCACGGAATAAATTTTCATTGCAACACTATTAATATTGGACCTTGTTGCTGGGGTTGGGATGGTTGCTAGGACGGGCATTGCCCTGGCGGGTTTGCTGGAGCACTGAGGGTGAGCACCCAGGGTGAGGAGTGGGGGCTGGAGGGAAGGGGGAACTGAGCCCAGGACTGATTTTGTGTGGTCCAGACTGCTCTCGAGGGCTGGCAGGAGCGCCTGCAGAGAGAGAGGGCAGATGATGACAGCACCTGAGCGAGTGCCTGGGCGACCCCATCATGCTCCCAGATCCCCCAAGGACCATTTCATTTCCCTGACCTCGCTCATACCTTAACATTCTCTGCTAATTTCCTGTCGGGCTCGAACTTCTGCCATAATTGCCTTCCTGAGAAATCAGTGAACTGAAACAATCCAAATTCTGCAAAATCATCCTCCTGTGGGCCCCAAAGTCCCAGAAGAATCCTCCCATGTTGCCCAAATCCCCCGCCCCACCACGCACGCAAACACACCTATCCACCCCTGCTAACTCAATGCCCCAGCATTCCTTCTAGAAAACCATGCAAAACCCATCTCTCATTTAGCTAATATTTCGTTCTATTTTGCACCCTTAATATGCCTTCTGGGTTGTGCAATTTTATATAAATATTGCCATAATGAACTGCTACTTGCTTTAATTATTATTTTTCATTTTAAGCAAAATATGCATATTATTTTAGGATCACATGCCATTTAACTGTTCTTAAGTTGAGGATCCTTTACACTTTGAACACCTCAAAGGTAAGACTCAGAGAGGTCTTTCTGACAAAAAGAATCCAAAACACAATTTCACTTAGTTTGATTTTGCATCTTTTTAATTGTCATTTTCTTAGGATGAAAAAAATCAGCTGATGACAACCAATGTGTGGCTCAAGCAGGTAAATATCGATCCAAGCATTGTATCTGTCAACCTTGTTATTTCAATTCTTTTCTATTTAGAAAGGCTCCCATTTGAAAAAAAATTATTTTAAAGAGCATATTGGGTTCCTCAGGGAGATATTTGGGAATGGCTGGGAAGGGTCTCTTATTTTTTATTTTCTTTTGCGGGAGTTGGAGAGCAGGTCCTGGAAGCTTGCAGGCATGCCTTATACTGTTTTGTTGCTCCTGGAGTGGACCTGTCCCCAGGGCAGGTAGGAAGGGGACTCTCTGACGCTGGTCCCTGGGCTACTTGGAGAAAAGGGAGGAAAGGCTCCAGGGCGCCACTTGCCCCCATATAGGGGACTGCGACTGGATAAGGAGGTGAGCGATGTTACATTCTCCCTCACCCTACTGGTCCTGGTGAATCTACCCCTAATGCTGAGAGAGGAGAGAGGGAATGAGGGAAGGCCACCCACCAGCAATTCCAGAACAAAGTGAAGCCCCGAACAAAATAATGATGCACATTTTCCTGATAGGACTAAAAATGCATTTTGTGTGGTTTCCAGCTCTCTGCTTAGATGACTGCTTTTAGCCTGGCTGCAGCCTCCCTCCTAAAGCAGGTCTGTGCACAGGAGCTCTGTCTAGAGTTGTCAGGAAATAATTACCTTTCAAAACCCAATTGTCCATATGTTATGTAAAGGAGAAAATATTGACACTTTCTTGATAGGAGGTGAGAAGTTTGGTTTAATTGCTTATTTTCTGTTTTTATTAGCAATTACCTGCTTTTTAACAAATATCCTGATGTTGTCTAATCCCCCCTAGATTTAAAATCTTCCTGGTGGGGATATGTTAAATGTCTCACTTAATTTTAACATACGTACATAATATTTTTCTTTGTTTCTATTGAAATAAGTTAGTTGTCTATTCACATTTAGCAGACATTGTTCAGCTCTTCCTGCTGATGGTTTGTAAGGAACAATGGAGAAAACAATGGATGAAAGAGATTTTAAGGAGATTCTCTAGGCTTCATTTAGTGTCACCAAATTTTTCCCACCAAAAACAACTTTGATCAGAGTTTGAGAATTATTATAATTTTTACTACATTCTATTTCTCTGATTCTTGAATTGGGATTTATGTCAGTAAGTTATGAAATGGATCTGCATATTATTTTACCTGCAAATAAAAATTTCCAGGAGAAAATAATAAGCTGAATGTTTATATAAAAACACAATTAAAATAAACGCATTTTTCCATATACCTATCTCATTCCTCAGTGACTTACCCCACTTTTTCACTCTGGAAGCTGTGGAATTTGGAGATATTCTGGTTTAATAAAAATCAATAAGAAGTCCTGTATTTGAGCTTGCAGGGGAGAGAAGAAAAACTTTTCTCTTAATGTATAAATAGGCTTAGGAAGTCAAGAAAAATAAAACAACAAACAAACAAACAAACTTCCACTGCTTCACACACACCTCCTTCTCCAGCTGCTCCTTGGGATTAAGCTCTTATTCATCTCTCACAGGAAAGAGTGGTCCACGGACCCTCGGCCTTTAATATTGAGATAGCAGATGCTTTTCACTTGTCTTGAGATTTTGAAAACAAGAAGTCATTTCAGCCAAAGAGAATAAGAAGCCATGGCTCCTCGGGCCTTAACTATAGCTTTGGAAATGACTTCCAGCAACGTTATGCCTAACCAAAGTTAGGCCTGGTGAATGCCTCCAAGTCAAGATGGAGTCAAATCCTAAAAATCTCCAACACGCCAAACAGAGCAAGTGAAATCTGTAGGAGCAGGGCAAGCTGACACTGGAGAAGCCACCCTGCTCACTTAGGCTCCCATTTCACAGAAGGGATGAGAGTAATAAACTTTCATTGCATTTAATTTGCATATCTCTTGTCTCATTCGCATCTCTCAACAGCCCTGAATTATCAAAGTGGGTATCACTACTTATAGAAATAGAAGAGTCTAGTAACTCATCTGGCTTAGTCTGGGTTTCTTAACTCCTGGTTCGGGCCTTCTCTGTCACATCTAGCCTCTGCACTAAACATCAAAGTCTGTTTCTAAGTCATAGGGGGAGCCAAAGCAGGAGAAGCAGCTACATGTTTCAGAGAACCACAGAGAATACTGTCACAGCTCTTCCGCCCGCACAGACTGGATGGGGAGCAGGAATGTCACAATAGACATAGCAAGTGCCATGTTATGGCACAATGTGGGCGTGAGAAAGAAAGAGGCTGGCAGGCGGGGAAGGCTGCATGGAACAGGAGGCATTTGAGCTCCACGTGGTGTTACTTTTATACTTTTTACTTTTAGCTTTCTAAAATTAAAAAGATAAAAGATGAAGGATAAAAGAAAAGGGATGATAAAAACAAGATAAAATTTGAGTTAAAAAAAAGTTGTAATTGGTGTTTTACACAGATCTCAGTTTCAGAACAGCTAATAATAATACCTAAGATTTGTTGAGCACCTACTAAGTGTCAGGGCACTATGCTGAGCGTGTCATGGGATGGATCTAATTTAATTCTCACAGCCACCTTATATGGTAGGTACTGTTATTATTCCCACTTTGCAGATGAGAAAACTGAGGATTGGAGAATTGAAGTGACTTGTCCAAGGTTACACACTGTTCAGTGGAGTCTGGCTTATTTAAAATTCCCTTCCTCAGACAGAAGGAGCTGACAGGAGATGTCCAGTCCTCCTCTCAGTGCTGGCCCCGTCTGGTCGAGTTCCCGACTCTGGGCTTCTCAGGTTCTGACTCCTCAACCTCCGGGATATCTCAGGGAGCTGGTCTACAAAGACATTTAGAAGTTGGGATTCACTCCAGCTTCCATTCATTCCACAGATGTATTAAGAGCCTACTAATTGCCAGGCACTCTGCTAGATCCTTGATATAGAAGAATCAAACACAGCCCTGCCTTCAAGGAGAGGACATAGTCTTAGTCATGTAAAAAATAACCACTGTAATGAGATAAATACCACGAGGAAAGTTTACCTAAGTACTGTGTTGATACAAAAATGACAATGAGATGGAGAAAATCAGGGAAAGCTTCCAAGTGGAGGAGATATTTAAGTCAGGTCCTCCAGGATCAATAGAGGTTCTGTAAGCCAAAAAGGTGGAGAAGTTGTGAATCACATGTATAGTATTCCCAATACCATGACTTCCCAAAGCTCTCACACCAGAGCAAACCTCCTGGAAACTCTTCCCAATCACCCTTGTATACCTCAGCCAAAATAAAGACAAAAATGATCAAACTCTCCTCTTTTCTCATTTCCCTCTCAGACACTGAAAAATGCTCCCTAATTCATATCCACAGGGAGAATAAAATTCTACCCACTCAGAACAAAAGCATGTTCCATGGTGCGCACACAACTGATGCTTGGTTTTTTACCCAATTCTCCCGTCTTATCCTCTGTTTCCATAGTCCCCCTCTAGTATATTTAGACATTCCTTTTCTTTCCTCTCAAAGACCTTTATCAAGCACAAATTTAGTGACTTCCTGAGAAAGTCCTCTACACGGGGCTATTTTTATTTTATGGATTTTATTTTGCAAACTCGTTTGTCTCCCTCCTTCGTACTTCCAGAGAGTAATCAAAACCCTATAAATCATAAATAGATTATTACGCTGACTCACTAAAACCACATGAGAAAGTACTCCACGCCCTGGCCACTCAGATTCTGCTTCATCGTCCTCGAGGTTAGGAAACTGCATCGCCAGCACCTTAGAAGTAAAGGAAAACCCCCCTTTCTTTAATGACACAAGGGCTGGACCCTTTGCCTGATGGAGTCATGTGAATAACCACTATGACGACAGACGGCAGATTTACCCACCCAACAAGCATTTACTGAGTGCCTACCATGCGCTGGGCTAGGCACCGTTGGGTGTAAACACCCAATAAGACGATAAGATTCTGAGTGACCTGCCCTCACTGTAGCTGAGAGCAGTTTGCTTTCCTGTCCCCATGATGATCCTGAGGACCATACAGCTGCCTGAATGTCTGCCAAGGCCAGCATCTTAAACAAGTGTTTCTCCAACAGCTGAATCCTGTTTTAGATCAACAAAAAGTTCAGCAAACATAGTGAAGGCCTCACTGGATAGATCCCTGGAGCTGGTCTTTGAGGAGAAATAAGAAACAAACCTCCTAGGGAAGGGCCAGCCTTGCCGTAAAGGTCTGGGCGATCTCCCCAAGTCTAATTCTCTTCCACATCCTGCAATGGCACTTTCAAGTCCATGACTTTCTCTCAGACCTTTACTTACCATCTTATTTTCCTTCCTTTTCTACAGCCTCACTCTGACCCTAGCAAACGAGGCCAGTTTGGTCTCCTTACCCAAGTGGACCCTGATTAAGAATTGAGCAGTGTGAGTTAGGAATCAAAAGGCCTGCCGTGTAGACTTGGGCAAGTCATTTCACCTCTCTGACCCTCAACCTCTTCATCTATAAAACAGAGGCAATGCCTAGCTCGCAGTGTTGCTGGGAAGTCAGATGAGATCATGAGTGTGAATGTGACTCCTACGTTGTCTGGCATGTAGTGGGGACGCGATAAATGTCATTTTCTGGTGCCACCTTTGTAGGCTTTCTCGTCCTTAATGACAAACCCCATTTCTTAGCCTTGACAACTCATGGATATAATGGGAATATGAGACATACAGTATGTCATGTTGCTGTCTTTAAGATTAAAATAAATCAACAGTAATTAGGTTTTAAGAATTTCTCATCTGACCTTAAGATGGCTGAAGTTCCCAGGGATGTTCTAGAGGCTGCGAGTCAAGGTAATAGCAAGGAATATTTGTTCCTTACTATCTTTTGTTCTTAGTATTAAACTACGAGTAATCTGAAGAATTTATTTGTAGTAAGAAAAGTCTTATGATTTAGGTTTAAGTGAAATTTGGTTCTGGATTGTGGTAATAGCTAGACATTTATGAGTGATATTTAAGGTAATATTTGTAAGAAAAGACAATTTTAAGGGAATATATATGATATGGATTTGAAATTGCACTTTTCAGAATTATGAAACCTAGACTTGG